AAGATGTTCTGCTCCTGAATCAGCTGGGTGGGTCTTGCCTCTAGCCTCTTTGCAGGGAGTTCTGCTGAAGGGTTCCGTGCTGGGCCTGCATGCAGCCCGGGTCAAATGAGGATCCCCAGGTCCCTGGTCGTCTCATTCACTCGCCAGGCCTGCGCTCTGGGTCTGTTCAGGATCCCGCGGCCTCGATCTTCTCACTCACTCCCCAGGCCTGTGCTCTGGGCCTATTCAGGATCTCACAGCCCCGGGTCATCTCACTCACTCGCTGGGCCTGCACTCTGGGTCTCAAGGAGATTTTTAAATAGATGTAATTTTCAAATTTCATGATTTTATACTCCTTTATTCCATCTTATATTTAAGTAAATTTGCAGGTACCACTTTTATTAATTGGTTTTATTATTCATTACTTTTTTTTTTGGCTGAACTAGGGATTGAACTCAGGCTCTCACGCTTGCCAGGGAAGTGCTTATTCTACTGAGCCATCTCCCCAGGTCCCTCATCGCTGTTATTAATGTTACAGGGTATTTTCATGTGCTCATCAGAGTAATTGTAAACATTTATTAAGTACTCTCATGTGTTGAGAATCGTGCTAATATATATGGCGAAGAGATACAAGACTTTTAAAAATGCAATCTGTCCACAGACAATGCCGAAGTTTATATTTCTAATCTAGGATTCTTCCTCAACTTCATATTCATATATCCAACTGTATACCTCATATGGCCAATTGGATGTCTAATGAACCTCGAAAATGTGACATAACTAAAACTGACTTCCTTGTAAACAGTTTCCTCCCAGATTATTCCCCATTTCAGTCAGTGGAAATTCCATGCTTCAGGTTGTGAGGATGACCCTGAAGTAAGACTCCTTGTTTTCATTCGCATATTCATTTTTCCTCCATCTAAACTGCAAGTTGAGGATGCTGGCCCCATCCCTGCCTAGGGGTGGGTCCTGGTTGACTTAAGCCTATCAGCACATTGCACTTTCCTTGGCTTATGGCAGTCAGATGGAATCTTTGGGATTTATTTTGGCATAGATGGAAAGGAAGATGTACTTCCTTTTCCTGGACATGAAAGAAGTCAAGAGCGTCTTTGCTGTAGATGGCCCTTCTTCAAGTTCAAAGGCAACCAGCTGAAGTTGGAGCTTTGGGTTCATGCAATAGAAAGCATCCTTGACAACAGCTTAGACCCCTTAGTACAAGGCTCCATGTTAGATCAACTTAAACAATTTTGTTGAAACACTGAGAGAAAGGTGTTTTTAGTTTTTCATATTCATTTCTACCATGTCATCTTGTCAACTCCCTCTATCTTGGAAGGCCCGGCCTAGATAGTTTTTTCTTCTACGATATTATTTTTGGGAATGGGCCTAATTTTAAATAGCTGGCTGCAATGGATTCATTGTTTTTTATTTTCATTATTGGAACATGAAGAAATGTTGCCCTCTTAATGAGTTTATAGATGTGACATACACAGAAGTGAACCTGTAATTACAGCATGTAGGAATAAGTGTTGAGAAGGGTGAAATTTTAGGTACAGACTTTAATCTAGAAGTTGTGAACAATGTGGTGAAGTGTCTTTCTGGATAAGACAATGTCTATACAGAGAATGAGAACCATTAAAAGTAACCAAATTGAAAAACATGGAAAAAAATCATGCTAGAAAGAGAAAGTTGTGCAAATGCTTAGAAACACCTGAGAGTAAAGTTGTCTTTGGGAATGGCCCAGAATATGAAGCTCCAGAAGAAGTATGCTGAGAAGAGAGGCTGGAGTCTAAGGTGAGAGTCAGACCAGCAGGGGGAGGAAGACTCAGCTGGGAGGTGGGTTCTACACTAGGAATCACCTGGGGCCCTTGGATCTGTGCTTGGATCTGAGCCAAAGGATTTGGGGAGACCCTGTTGAAACCATGAAGACCAGTTCAGAAACATCAGATGCGTCTCATCCTCATGTCATTTTGTGTCACCACTCCTGACATGTCTAGTTAGGTGTAGTCACAAAATTTAAAAGATAATATGAAAAGTGGCAGAGGTTGGTACTTTCCTACCAAAAGGGGGTGCTCTTTGGGCTTGGAAATCTGTGATAGGTGGTCAGAATATCAGCGATAGTAGACATGATGACATTATCTTGTAAGCAGTATCCCCAAACTCAAATGCCATACTGCAGCAAGATTCCACAATTATTTGTTCTTTTTCAGATCGATCGCAGGTCTTGGATATTAACCACTCTATCCAAAAGTTTCATTGGGAATAATGGACATCAATGACAAAAGACATCATGTATTGCTTCACCTCTAGATTTTATTAGCAATGACTTGATGCCACATAGCACAGTGTCCTAACACGGGGTGAGGGTGAGCAGAACCTCCTCCCTCACAGTGTTCTGACTGCAGAAGTTGAACCTGGGAAGAGAGAGCATCAAAAGGTTACCATTTCCTGGAATGGGGCTGCAATGTTCAGCACGAGGAGAGTTACTGCTCTCTCCTCCGACTCCTGAAATCTGAAAGAAGGCACCCTCTGGGCCCAAGGCCGGACCCTGACCCCTGGTGCAGAAGAACGGATGTCCTTCCAGCCTTGTCCTCTTCAACCTGCTACAAGGTTCTAAAGAGAGGAACCAGAGAGAGGAACTGATCATCACATCCTAAATGATGGGAAGGATCCATTTGCAATTTAATACTTTCAGACCATGGTTCACTGTGGAAAGCAAACTCTGAAAAGCAAAACTTTTAAAAGAAAACTGCTGTACCTAAAAGAAGCATGACTGAGCTATATATAGGTCTATATTTGGCTGTTTAAAATTGTGAAATTGTATCCAAAGTGCTTTTTAAAAAAATCATTTTGTACTACCATCAGCAGTATGTGAAAGCTCAAGGTTTTTGTTATCCTCAACCTTGTTTGATATTGTTAATCATTAAAATTTTAGCCATTTATACAGGTTATGATGGTATATTGCGGTTTTAGTTTGCATTTTCTCGTGGCTAACAGCAAGTTTTCTGTCATTTCAATTTGTAAAATCTATTTGTATTCTTATATTTAAAGTCCACTTAAGGTAGGTATAGTACAGTTATTTGAATATGGATCTTTAAAAATCTAATGTGACAATTTCTACCTTTCAATCTCAGTGTGTAGGCCAAGTTATAGGACCAATACATATGTGGTAGAACCACCTTCTAATATTTTATCTTCCCCTTTATTCTCCTGCTCTTTATGATATTGTCATATGCATTACCTAGAAATAACACTATATATCTCAAAAATATGCCATAACTTTTTAAATTTTTAGATTGTTGTTGCTTTTATTTTTGGTGTTGGGGACTGAACATGGGGCTTTATGTATGCTGAGCAGGTATGTTACTGTAGACCTACAACTCCATCTCCCAGTCAGTTATTTTCAGAAAGAACTAAATATAATAAAATTTAAAATCATGTATATTTGTAGTGTGGTTAATGGTACTTTTCTCCTAATTCTTTTCTGTAGATTCTTTCCCAAGTAATATCGTACTCTTCTGCTCCAAATCCTTAATAGCTAGTGTAGTGCAGGCCTGCGGGTGACAGGTTCTTTCAGTGCAGGTAGGTCTGAAAAGCCTTAATTTCACCTTCATTGCTCAAATATATGTTTGTGGGCATAAATTCTCTGCTGAACTTTTTTCCCTTCAGTACCCTGAAGATGTTCCACTGCTTTCCAGTTTATATTGCTCCTTGGAGAAAATCTGCATAAGTTTTTATTTTTTCCTGTATATAATCTGACCTTTTTATATTGGTGCTTTTAAGAGTTTTTTTTTTTTTTTTTTAATAGATGGTTTTGAGTAATTTGATCCTGGTGTGTGTTTCTGTTTTCTTCATTTCTCCTAATATTATTTTTATGATGATGGTTTGATTTGTTTATAGTTTTTACCAAGTTTGATGATTATGGAACCATTATTCTTGACATACATTTTTCTATTCCTCTGCTTTTGGAATCTTCAAACACAAGTACACTGAATTCTTAAATTTTCCCATAGGTCACCAATGTTCTTTGGTGAAAATTTAAAATTTTCTCTTACCTTTATTTTATTTTATATAATATCTATTATGTCTTCAACTTCAATAGTCTTTCCTTCCACAATGTTTAATCTCCTGTTAATTATATTTGGTCTACTTTTCACTTGAGATTGTATTTTTTTTATCTCCAAAATTTTAAAAACCATTGATTGATTGATTGATTTGATACAGGGTCTCACTACACAGCTTAGATTCATAGTAATCCTCCTGTGCCAGCCTCCCCAGTGCTGGAATTATAGGCATGCACCACCACGCCTGGTTTTGGGGCCAGCACCACATGTGGTACTGGGGATAGAACTCGGGTCCTTGCACTTGCCAGGCAGGCACTTATCAGCAGATACCACTGAGCTATCTTCCCACCCTTCTCCAGAAATTTTTGATGGATTTATTTTATTTTATTTATTTTTTATTTTTGGCAGAACCGGGGATTGAACTCAGGTCCTTGCACTTGCCAGGCAAGCGTTTATAGATGGGTCTTTTTTATTTTTACTCTTTTTGGAGGTTTTCTATAATTTATGTCATTTCCCTACTGACCTTTTGAACTCATGCAATAGATACTGAATAACTGCTTTAATCTCCCTACCTAACATCTTTATCAACTCTGGCCAGGTATTAGTTCTTTGATTTCTTTTGTCATGACAAGTTGTACCGTCCTGCTATTTTTGCAGCTGGAAAGCTTCGATTACCACCACAGATTGTGGGTTTCATTTCTCAGCTGCTGGATAGTTTTGTATCTCTGTAAATCTCATTCAGCGTTGCTCTCAAGCACTGTTTGCAGCCCAGAGCACGGTTCTTGCTAATCCCTCCAGGTCTGTGTCCCTGGCCTCAGCTACTCTGCTCCCACATGAGTGCTGACCAGCACCAGGCTGGCCACTCAAGGGGCCGTCGCAGAACTCTAAGCTTGTCCTTTCACGCGCTCTGCCCTCTGTTAGGCTACACTAGGAGTCTATCCGTCTTAAGTTCTCTAATGCTTAAGTCTTCCTCCTCAGTTTAGAGACTACTGATTTCTGCCTCCGCATCTCTTGGCTGCGTCAGATCCTGAGAACTCTCTTAAGGCAACAGACGGGGATAATTTTAAGGTTCCACTCTGTTTTCTGTCTTTCAGCATCACTGTCCTGGGCTGCTGGAAGCTCAGTGTCCTGAAAACTGTTGTTTCATACAGTCATCTCATTCTTTGATGGTTTCCCTTGGCAAGAAAGTAAATGTGGAGACTTTGCTCCATCTTTGCCCGACGCAAAAGTCCTTTTACTGGATTTTTATGAGGATAAAATACATCTGATGACAGAAGAACCAGCACTCTCTGCCTTGGAGTTTCTCTTAACACTTACACATTCTTGAGCTAATGCTGCCCTACTGGGCTTATAACCACTCCACCTTTGCTCGCAAGCATTCTTCAGCCTGTACACACTGGAGTCCTGGTGAGAACAAAGGACAGACTTCCTGGACCTTTGTCTCCTCCCAGAAGTCCCAAAGAGCAGCCTACTTCTGTTCCTTGATAGTCTAAATGAGCTCCTAGTGATTTAAGTAGCAAGTTGGTAACCCGTGAAGTTTGAAGATGATTGCCATGTTAACTACAAAGCTGTTGCAAAGCTCACCTGCCCAGTGAAATAGGCTTTCCACCTTATGGTCCTGATGTTGGGTTCTCATTCCAACACCTAATTTGTACCAGATAACACAACACTTACCCAAAATCTATTAAAGTTCTGTACTTTCTCCTAAAGAGACAGCAGACATCAGGAGGCAGCTGTGTCTCGGTGCAGGAGAACCACTGTAGGAAGTTTACCTTCGAGGAGAACTTTAGGGGGCACATGGCTATGAACACTAACCAGCCCTTCCCATTCCTGGGAAGTAATGTTTATTACTTACACTCTCCCATCGTTTCTTGTCACTGTGATGCTAGATGCTCCCACTTTGGGCAGGGTTGGGTTGATCACATTGTTGTACCAAATAAATTTAACCTTCTGTACGTCCCCGACATCCACATCAGAATCAATCTGATTAACATGACTGCTTCCTGGCTGAAGAGAGCCCCTGGAGAGTTAAGAAGTTAGTAAACAATGTGCATGAATGTGTACCTACAAAATTATCTTACCTGTAAACATACAGATATATATGCATATATTTCCAAAACCAGCTTGCAATATATCTCTAGTTAAAATGATTAATAGGAAATTCATTATTCTAATGTATTAAATAAATTCACACATGTATATTGACTCCATATTAAGTTTTGGCATCAACAACTCATAAAGATTCAGTCTTTTTTATTTATTTTTCTTATTTTTTGAGACAAGTTCTCCCGATGGAGTTCAGGCTGGCTGTGAACTCATTTGCAGCCCAGGTTGGCCTCGAATGCTTGGCGACTCTCCTGCCTCAGCCTCCTGAGTTCTGGGATAATAGGCGCGCACCACCACGCACAGAGCTAGGCATCTTTAGTGAACTTCTACCATGTATGAGTCACAATCCTCACCATTTAATATATCATCATTGTCATCTTTCACCCACTGTTTTGTGGAGAACAACTGTTTTTATTAAAAAAATCAGATGCCAGACATAAAAATGAATATTAATGGTTTTCTCAGTAGTAAAGAAAAAAAGTTAGACCTAGAACTCTGAAAGGCATTAGAGTAAACATATGAATATCTTTCTTTTTCATTATACGTGGTAGTACTCGATTCCCATATGGCAAAGAGTAAACAAACTTTTATGACAATTTACATAGAGTGTTGAGACATTTAAAAAGCCAAGAAAACAGTTTACTCACTTGTAAATTTCATACTGTTTAGAGTTTCCCCAATTTCCATACAAAGAAACCAGCACATGTCCGGAAACCTTCTGTCCCGACAGTGTGACTGCCACCTGATACCTCCAACCTGCGCAGCACATAGAATTTACAAAACATCAGCTTGTGGGAAGATGCAATGAAAACTGGTGGATTGCCACCCACTGCCACAGAACCCTGGGTATTTTACACTGGTGCTGGTGAGTCTACCAATGAAACACTCATAATGATGCTGTCATCTAAGTGTTCAGGGTCTAAGTTGAGGAGGTGCAGAGTCTTTCCACAGTTAAAAAAAGATTGTTAAGCCAGAGGACTAAGAAATACATTTTGTTTAAAATTTTTCAGCCTAGCAGTTTGTTCCTCAATGGTTATTAGCATGTTGTCAAGAGGTCCTGGGAAGATAGTAGAGTACAACACTTTCTTCAGTTCATTTTACTTTCTTTTTTTATTAAATTTTCAAAACTCTTATTTATCTATTTATTTATTTATACAGCGTCTTGCTATGCAGCTCATAGTGATCCTCCTGTTTCAGCCTCCCCAGCACTGGGATTACAGCATATGCCACCATACCTGGTTTCAATGGCCAGCACAGCATGCAGTACCAGGGATCGAACCCAGGTTCTTGTGCTTGCCAGGCAGGCACTTAGACTGCTCAGCTCTCTCCCTGGCCCAGTTTGTTTTACTTTCACTGAACACTAACATTTAAAAAGTACTGTCATTTTTCTGTCTGTATAGCCAAATATTTGCTTAAAACACTCCATAATTCAAATTTCCATCGTTCTTAGAAATATACTAATTTAGGAAGCCCAAACTGAGTGCTTTGGTACTAATCAATGGTAAACCATTCCCCCCCCCCCATTTAGCTGTAGTTAGGGACAAATTAGGGGTGGGATAAAATTTGGCTTTAGTTCTCACAGCTTTCTTCACCCCGTTGACTCTTATCAAAGTAATTTCTTCCTCTTTTACCCTCTGTAAAATTCCAGTACCCTCTAATTCCCATCATCCATGGCATCTACCAGCCTAAGTATCTTCTGAATCTGTAGATTTCTTTCCATTTCAACTAAGGGATGATAGAAGAAATAAGAGATGGATAAAAAAGAGATGAGGAAATCATAACTAAAAATTGTATTTTTAGGATGCAACTGAAGTTATCCAAGGTGATGCACCATGAAAAAGCCATAAATTAACTTAATTAGAAACGTACGGAACTAGGAACCAAGCACTAAGAAAAAGGGAAGGCAAAACAAATCTGGAGAATGTTTACACTGCCTAGCGACAGACAAACAAACTTCCCATGCCTGTGGAATAGGCGCCCTTGGGGGTGAAAGTACTTTTTCCTTTGCTTTCTACCCTTTAAGAAAAGCACAAAAGTTTCTAATTCCAAACTATGATGAAGTCTCATTGCTTTGAGTGTCCACACTCAAAGTGCTCTTGAGTGTATCCTAAATTTCTGTCTAATAAGCCCTGTTCCTGCCTTTCTGCTTTGTCCTAAAAAGTCTTTTTCCACAACAGGAGTCAGCATTCCTGCTACCAAGGTTAAATTCCTTATTTCAGCTTCTGGAATCGCTTAGACAAGCCTCATGACACCATCTCTGTCACCTCTCTCTGGGATTACTTTTCTGCTTGTACAAAAGTTCAGAATTCTGCTCAGTAAAACTTTTTAATACAAAGAGGTTGGAGCAGAGGAAACCTGTATTCAGCACTACTGAATACAGGTCAACTGTTAAGAAATTACTTCTTGCCTCAATAATAGTTCAAGATTCAGATATCACTCTGCTACTCCCAGTAGCCACCTTTCCACTGAGCTTGGTACTGAATGTTTCTTCTCATGGGAGGAATTGCATAGCTTTGAATGGGAAGAAATTTTGTTTGTCATCAATGGATGTGATAAAATGCACAGTGCTAAGAAAGTAAGTACAAAGAACAGGTACTTACGTGAAAAATTACTTGTATCACCAGTATTGAGGTAAAATCTCTGGAACTGTTCATTTGTTTTCCCAGAAAATCTGTCAGCATAGTGACCCATCTGTGGGCATCCTCCACTTGAACAGGGAAAGCACTTATTCTAGTGAAAATAAATAGTGCACCATTTCTAAGTGTTATTACAATGCAAATACTTTAAAGCCAAATATGTTGCACTAGAAAAGAAAACTTTAAAAGGCAAAATTTAACAATGTATCTTATTATTCACAAGGATAAATGAAGGATTTCACTGTTAGAAAGCAGAATGCTATTAAAATCACACAATGACATGGCGTGTCCTTTTTGTTTGCCTCTTTGGTTGTCCCAATTGCCTGAGCTCTTCCTGGTTGCTGGTTGGAATTTATTTTAGAAGATTGCTTAAGAAAGGATAATTAGCTTCTGATATGCAAAGAAGGATCTGTTAGGAGAACAATAGGCTCAACGGGAAATGGCTTTTCACCATTTCCTTGGCTTCCACTTTATATAACAAGGACTAAAGAATCCAATTTTCTCATAATTCTCCCAACATGAAGAAACTGCTCTAGCTGGCTATTAAGGCCTAGAAAATATTGTCTCTTGCTAAGCCAAAGGATTGCAGTAAAAGGGTGGAAAGGGAAGTACAGAGCTCAAGGACAAGCATCCACTCTGGAGGGGAAGTCTACTTCATAATAAAAGCACGTAGTGGAACCCAAGTCAATGAGCCAGATGACCAGTATGGCAGACTCTGGTATCTATTATGCTAAAGGGAGGGTGAACCAGCCACAAAGAAGTGGCCAGAGCTGTGTAAGGGCACTGCTCAAATCAGAAGCCTAGACACACCCCAGCTTTTATTTCTGAACGTCTGAAGTGTGCACTTTGATAAAGCAGATAGTAGTATGTCCCAGAGTGCAAAGGAAGCAAGAAACCTACACCCACAGACCCTCATGTCATTCTCTCTGGGGAATACAGACTGAGCAGGCTACCACCAGGCTTATCTGGCCCAGTACTACCTTGGAGAGGAGCTCAGGGAGGGATCCACAGGGGAGAACATTGGAAGACTGAGATATTTTTCTTATAAAAGTTCTGAGTACTATTTAACAGGACTGTTACATTATTGAATCAGACTGTTTAACTGTATGACCATAAAGCTTTTGTTCTTTTTTTTAATAGGAAGAAAAAATAGTTACACAGAAAAGAGGGGAGGTTTCAGTGCCTAGCGAATAATCAATGTGTAAGGTGAATAAAATTTGCCCTCCCCTATAATAGCTAGCATTTATTGAATATGGATTATTGCGTTTTTGCTCTGGGCTAAGCAATTAACATATGTCATTTCATTAAGTTCTCTAACCAAGTGCTTTGAGGCTACCATTATTATTTACATTTATAGACAAAACTATCACAGAGAACTAAACTATATTGCTCAAATTAATACAGCTATTTAATGCTGAAACCAGAATCCAAGTCCTCTCTCTTCATAACTGAAGTATGTATGTCTCTTTGGTAATTAAGTACTTCACCTACCACACTGCTTACTTGAAATTTTCTCTATTAAATGGGAAACAGTATAATTTTGGGTTTAAAGAAAATAATATTAAAAAGTTAATTTTATAAAAAAGTAATTTAGGTGGGAGAGCTTCCGGCTACCCTGCATCTGTGGGACCTACTGGTTCCAGCCCAGGCGCAGCATGGGTGAGACCTTCTTCCACCCCCTTGGGATACCCCCCACCACTCCACAGCACCTCGTCTACCCCTCTTGCTGAGTAGGAATTTCTGCCACATTCTGAGAACCCCCAGACCCAGTCCTAGGCCAGGCCCAGTGAGTGTGTGGGAGAGCATCCAGCTCTCCTGTGCCCGTGGGACCTACTGGTCCCAGCCCAGGCACAACGTGGGTGACACCCTCTTTGACCCTCTTGGGATGGCCCCATCACTTCGTAGTACCCTCCCACACCCAGCCCACAGATTAGGAATTTCTGTTGCATTCTGGGAACTGCCAGATTCAGTCCTAATCCAGGCCCAGTGAGTGTGTGGGAGAGTTGCCTCTCCTTTCTACTCCAACTTGTCCTCTCCAGACTCAGCCCAGGCCTGGACTACGGGCCTGGGGTGAAACCCTTCAGCTGCAATCCATGCAGAGAGTGTAGAGGACAGAACCACCCAGCTAGTTCGGGAGCAGAACATCCTGCCAGAGGGGCACAATAGGTTCAAAACCAAGGGCAACAACAGGAAGGAGCTGAGCACAGCAGCCAGACCCAAGCCAGGCACAACTGGATAAATCCAAACTTTGTAGATCTACACCTGAACTTCAGTAGGAGCTAAGGCTATAACTGCAACAAAGGTCAGAAGACAGTGCTACACAAAATGACAATGAGAAGGAGCAAAACGCAATCTCAGAACCCAAGCCCACCCATAACAAGTGAGAGGACACTAACACAGAACAAATTGGGAATCACACAGCTGAAAGCAATGAATCAATGGCTTATGAAATAAAGAAACAGCTGCAGAAAGGTATAGGGGAACTCAGATTGGAAATGAAAAAAGAAATCTCTGAATTAATAACATCTGTAGTAAAGAATCAAATGCAGAAACATATAGAGGAAACCCAATGCCCACCCAGAACAACTGCAGAGGACACTAGTTCAGCTCAAATGTATGAATTAATAGTGTCGATAGTAAATAAGCAACAGCAGAAAGTCATACAGGAACTCAGAGTGGAATTCTTTTCTACTAGCTCAGCTCAAAAGTATGAATTAATAGCATTGATAGTAAATAAGCAACTGCAGAAAGTTATAGAGGAACTCAGAGTGGAATTCTTTTCTGAAATAAAAAAAGAATTCTCAGAACTCATAGCATCTGAAGTAAAGAATCAACTACAGAAACATAGGAAGGAAACCCAATCTCAAAAAAACACCGCAGTAAAAGAATTTATAACTGCTTTTAAAGAAAACATTGATAAAAAAAATAGAGGAGATTAGAAAAATGTAGGATTCCTTGAATGAGCAATACAGGAAAGAAATAGATCTCATGAAGCAGAGTCAAAGAGATATAGAGGAAATTAAAATCTCAATCACAAGCTTGCAAAACCGTTTAAGTGAAAGTGAAG